TTCTCGCCTCACTCTCCACGTATTCTAATGATAAAAAGGGAAATTCATAAGCGTACTAATCTAGAAAAAAAATAACAAATTAATTCGTCATGAAAAAGATATTTCATCGTTATTCCTTAATAGCCTCGTTTTGCTGAGTATTGCTTTCTTCCCGTGGTCTTGGCTGTGACGATAATCGGAAGTGTTCCATTCGAGGAACGCGTATGCGCGTGCCTTATCATCATTTTACATGCAACGTCGTTCTTTTACGCCAGGCCTACTGAACTCATTTCCAGCGAATACATCATATCATAATCACTGTGATTTAGCGTATGGTAGATAGACAGCGTCGTACGAGAACGAAACTCGTGCAATTTAACGAAATACTTCCGATTTGCGAGATCTTGCTGCACGTTCTCGCACGTATGACAATTATGTGGAAGAAGGATCGATCGCTACGACTGGCTGTGACTAATTGACTTATTTCCAGCGATTCTATATTCATACGTTTGGTATAAATAGCTATAATCTATAGTAATACCATTTGTCTTCGGAACGGTACCTGTTGCTTCAGAAATCGATCCAAATACTATATTTCATTCATATGTATGGTATCATTATCTCCAATAGATATTAGAAACTGTTAATCATAGCTGTAATTTATGAAAATTCGACGGTCGAGACACCAATTGATTATGCGTCTTATATTTATTTATGCACAAAGCTATTTTAATCGTCGTACGCGTTTACCACCGACCGTCCATTGTTCGTTCGATGACTTTATTCCAACTGTTCGATCTTTCGAAGATATCACCCTTCGCGAGGAAGACGAGGAGATGGTGTGTTGTTACATTAACGCCAAGAAAGTTGGAGATGGCGCCAACCGGCAGTCACCGTAAGCAGGCACCAGCTCGGAGATGGAAAGGGCAAAGAGCGGCGCGTAATTCCATAGTATCGTATGGTCTGCGTGAAAGCAGTCTTTAGATGGTAATAATAATCCGAAAAAAGAACAGCGGCTATCAGCGATATAACATTAAAACACGAGGAAACGTAGCCAATGGAAAATACCAGTGTAATCGTTTGATGCACTCGAGTGTAACTGTTCCTTATCGATTTTTCAGACGTCTATGATCGGTTATGATCTTTGTCTACGCATAAGAAATTCTGATACCGCAAAATTGCGCCACAAAAAGAATGTAGAATATTTAATATCCCTACTCGTGTGTGAGAAATAAAGGGCGAAGGATTAGAAGCATTCTTAAAACCATCGAGTTTATGTTCATTAGCTCCGAAAAGCTGGGACGTTTGCCATATCCGAGGATGGTCTCGTCGTCAGCGTCGTAACGTGTAGTATCTCAGGCTTAAGGATTCCCTTGAGAGAGACACGGCGAAATTCCGTGCACCTGCACGTAAGGCTGACGTTTATTAGTCGAGCACAATGTAGCGTCTTTGGGGTCGGTATGAGGAGCGTTTTCGCTACGAAAACGAGCAGCCCAGCTACGCTCAAATCCCTCCGACGCGTGTACTTTATAGGTGTAATTACGAGCCTTAAAACTTAGCCCGGTCGTATCGTGACAGCGAAATTGCATGACGACGATGATACGATAAAGGTCTTCGGCCCCATAAATCGGCAGGAAGATAAGGGCCAATCCGTCCGGTGCTTTTTTCTCGCCGCTTCCCCGGTCACAGCCAAACCACAAGAAGCTTTGGGCTTCTTTCTCTTCTTCTCTCTTACGTCTTCGCAAACGATCGAGATTATGTTAACGTTTCGATGATTTACACCGCTCTCGAATTCTCATTTCGCCAACGGGGGATTCTTTCGTTCATCACGATGAAGATGCAGAAGGATTGGCTTGGTGGTGGAACGGCGTATTTCGACGAATTCGAGAAGTTTGGCTCTGGCACAGGTGTTTACCTGGACGAGTTATGCGGCGCAGGTGGAAAGTTATCCCTCCGACATAATGACTCTATCTTCCGTGCACGGCCTTTCTCTCGAGGATTGTAGAACCGACGGTGTTACGGTAATAGCCCGTGACTATATGGTTGACCACGACTATCGTGCACTTGGGAGGGATCAACGGGCCTCCGGCCACGGGTATTTTACACGTACAGGTATACGGAGTGACGCGCTCGCGTGGTCGTTCATGTGCCACGCTTTCTCGCTCGCGTTACCGCTTTTGCGACCCGACCACGTGCTCAGCGTTTGACATAACGAATGTAATAACGATTTGTTAGCGCCGCGGTGAACGCGCCGTTTTATCTGTCCATACGTTCTGTCTGTGTTTCCAATGCGACCTGTGTTACACGAAAGAAACGCTGCTGGTGACGTGAGCGTAGGCAGGAACGTACTTGCGTGTTTTCGTTTTACTTCGATTTGAAATCTATTAGATAATTTTATATTATTAATTGCCATTTTTGTTTCGTATAATCGTTATTTACCTTCGTAATTTCTTTCACTATATACCGACATTTTAGTTATGATAGAGCCTGCAGAAGTTTGAAAACATACTTAGTGACGTATAACGAAATGGAGCAAATTGAAGTATGTACTACGAGGCGAGTACATCTTCTGGCTATCTAATTAACTCTGCTCGTTGATTGGTATCTTTGAACGAAACGTATAGTCCGTATACAGAAGTCGGCTTCCACGGAGCGTCTACTTACCCCGTGTCAAGGCAATTAGCAGCGGTGATGGGTTAATTGGTCTCGGTCCTCGTTTTCGTCGCGTGACGAGCCTTAGGAGATGGGGAGATTCCTTCGAAGCGGACAGCTCGCGAATGGGAAAAGGGCACCGCGGGCGTTTAAACCCGTTGCCTGTACGTTGAACAGAAGCTCGGACACGCTTAATGTTCGACGCGCCAATACACCGCACACGAAAGGCAATTTTATAACTTAAATTACATAAATAATCTAAGAATTACAAACGCTAATATTACTTAGAAACAATTGTAAATAATACCATTTTAAACAGTTACTTAATGAGATTCAAAATACATAATATATGGCTGCTTAATGTCTCTTTTACAATCTTGACAACTCTTACATCGTATAATGTGTGTGTAATTTTTCCACTCGTTACCGCGAACCGGTTCCACCAACTCCCAACGTATTCCCTCAAACATCGCTCGTACAATACCGTTGAACGCTCGAAAAACACGAAGCAACACTCGCGAGAAGTTGCTCGTTCCACGATGGGGCAATGTTTCTGTCGGCGTAAAAATGAATTCGTTCGTTTCGGCGGTACAAACAGCGCGGAGAATAAAGACACGTTCCCTCCCGCGCGTTTCCCTCTGTTTCACCATCGAGTTGCTCTCGCCCACGAGATCGGCGATCTTATCTTCGCCCGTATCTCGAGTCATTCGCGCCTCCGCGAGTCACTAGACGCTTTTAATCGTGGCACCCAAGCGAACACCGTCGCCCATGTATCGTCCGTCTTTGGGAATCGCGAGTGATCGTCTCGATTTGACGCTAAACTTCACCATCTACCGTGAAATCGACGATCTCTCGAATCGTTTTACTCGAACTAGCTGGTTGAAACCGGAGCAAGCTATTTGGATGGGAAAAAGGGAACTCACTGATCAATCTTCTGACCTAGAAGCCCCTTTCATTTGCCAGATGACTGTGCTTCAGATCGGTTGATTCTTTCTTCCCTGAAACTGGTATTCTAAATGGCTGTGTTTACTGTTATTGGATTAGGTAGAAGGGTCGTAAATTCGATTGGATGTCGGACACGTGTTTTAGAAATTAGGGGAAAGTCAGTTTGAAGAAATATTAAAATACAACAGTTTGTATCTCGTTAATCTTCTTCGTCCTTAAATATTAAAATTTCCACTTCCAAATTTTCATGTCAGTAAAATGGAGACTATAGTATCGAAATATTGTTAGTTGGCTTCCTGAGAACCGGTGTTACATCAAACAACGTGAAACGGAAGAAAGAGATTAAAACGAGGGAGGGTAAAGTGGGACAGGCGATCTGGTAACCCCACCTTCTATTCACCTTGAAGAAACAGACGGGAAAAGATGGAGTAAAATAGCAGTGGAATAATGTCTCTATTCTCGCCTCGACCGCCACATTCTCGAGCTCGTTCTACCCGATAATTACACGTTACCGAAGCACACTGGGCGCCCTTCAATTAAGCCGACGAATCACCTGCTTCCATACCATCCGACCAAAAACTCTACTTCGTCGTTGACCGTCAACCAAGCCTTACGTGCCTAGAGAATCCTCGTCAACGAGAAAGTGAGTTCGCAAGACACCACTTTCTTGAGTGCTTAATGTTCTCATAAGGATACAGTTCAGTTGATAACTCTTTCATACAAAAACAGAATCGTGTATAGTGAAATTTTGGTGGACCTTATTGCTGTAAAAAATTGTTGTTTACTTTAAAATTAGCTGCCATTGTCCTTTTTCCAAGTAAATAATTGAAAGCAATTAGTTTAGCTGCAATTCGTAATGAAAGTCGATTTCCTCGCTTCAGTCTCACGCAATTTGTGTTGAACGATCTCCCAGAATCCACGATATTCTTAATTATCGTCCTTGCGGCTGGTAACCACATCCTCGACGACATTTCTTTCGTCCCCTTGCTCCCAAGGATATTTTTTTCGCATGACATCTCCCTCCGTCGCGTGTCACCGCATGTTTTGGATGATGGTCGAGTTGTTGAAATTGCGTGTACGACTGCACGACAGGAACCACGTCTCAATTACGAGAGTAATATGCGAGCAATAAGAACGATATTGCTCTGTTAAGGGAGGGTAGATTCGCGTGATTCGCATTTGGCGATATCTACCTTTGGCTCTTCTTTAGAAGTCCATCATTGTCCTTGCGAGACAAATGGAATTCTCGAGAGTTGCTAAGATTATACTATGAGAAGGAACAGTGTTTTGTAAATTATACGTTATTGCAATCATTATATATTTTATAAGTCTCATAAAAATTCATTACTATATCTTTAGAATTAAGTAAAAAGATAAAAGGCGAATGACTGAGAAATGGAACTGAAACGAACCCGTTCCCGCAGGTGTCCGGGAACTGGAACGCTTACGAGATGAACGGGTTCGTGGAGGGTGCCACGTTCGAGAGTATCGTGCATTACGTGTTGAAGAATATGAAGATTACCCAAGCGCGAGCTGGCTACCTAGTAATGGAGGTTCTGAAGGCAGGAGTTTCTCTAGGACGCATCAAGAAAACTTCTCGCGGCACCTATATCTTGGCAACAGACAAACCTAGCTTTATCACGCACAACATTAAAGAACCACATTTCAGCGACGACAGCGATTATGACGTTTCGTCCGGAGACAGTTCGTGATCAAGCACACACACACACACATATATATGTATCTTTAATCACGACATCCCGCGTGAAAAATCATGTCCAGCATTCCATTCTACTAATAAAATGTTAATCGTCGGGCGCAAACGAACCTAACCGGAAGCGTATAATTATTTATCTGCTAATTGAATAATTGTTTCGACCTGTCGGTTGTTCCGCATACTCAGACTGTCATTACGATACTAATTGCATTGGACCTTGCGATGTTTCTTTTTCCTTCGCGACCCTCTTCAATGCTGGAGCGTACGATTGGAACCAAGCATATTCTGTCTATCGTCGGAAAGGGTGAAAGGGATGTTGTAATGTCTTTCAACAACAGAAAAGAAATGGTAATATATATATGTAATCGCAAGAATTATTTCGTCAGGGCTGTTTCTTAGGATGGTCAGTTTTCAAGCCGGGAATACGACCATCGTTCCGGTAATTGGTTCCTTTTAACTGCGAGCCTAAAAGTTATGAATTTATGCCTCGCCACGTAAGATATAATTGGGTGTTCAATTAATATCTTGATAAAAAACTTGCTACACCGCAAAACGTGGTTCTACCTCTTCGTCTTCCTTCATCCTCTCCCCTATTTTTATTCTTCCTGTTTAATTTCTTTTGTCTCTTTTCTTCCTTTTCGGAGCAGTTCCGCTCCGAGGCTGATCTCGCAGTTCACCGCGTGCTCCATCAGCGGGGGTCCTAAGCTACCGAAAGTCATTTCGGGAGTAGAGGAAACAAGAAGATCGCGAGATCAGTCCCGACCATTGGCTGTATAATTGATTTTCCGCCGAACGAGCGTCCCACGGAGGCGGCCGTTTCGTCGAACCGGTCGAGTATTCGAAGGATCGCATGACCGAACGCTGCTAGACTAGCCACCGTCCCTGAGAATCTTCGATCGACCGTTCGAGTTGTGGAAGCGCACAGGAGCGAGAAGAGGAGTTAGAAGAGTTAAGTAGAGCATGTGGGCTGAGGTATTGTTACCTTAGACGCGTAGTCTCGTCCTAGACATCCTTCCCCCGTATGGGACGCTACTTCGGTAACAGTGGGTCATTCTATCTACGATAATCTAGAAATATCGTCACGAGACCCTATTCTGGCGAGTATAAGAATTATATAGTTGACAAGGAGGAGCATCGTTGTCGGCACTTTGCAACAATGTGGAAGACGTCCACGTTCCACTGTTGTTTGATTTGTGTCCCTTTGTTGAATAAGCATTTTTCCATGCATCGTGCTCCCGCACCGGAACGATGTAGCTCGTCCCTCCCGGTACGTATGTTAAGGACCTTTTAAGATGTCTCTCTAGTTTATCCCGCTGCGCTACCGGTACCAGTTTCCGTTCTCCGTGTCTCTGTACACATAGGCGAACCACGCTATTGCCTCCGCTTCCAGACGAACCCTCTCTCCTCTTCTTTTTTCCTCGCCTAGCTCGTGAGACTCGTTCCTCCTCTTTCTTCTTTCTCTTCGCCCTATCCCTTTCGTCTTCCATCTCTCTTCCCCCCGATCTACGCTCTTCTTTTTCGAGGTGCTGCAGGTGTCGTGCATTGTCCACCGTCGCGGCCTCTAAATCTCGTCCCTGACGTCGTGCGGCGTAGCTGCGTCGTGGCCAGCTCTCCCAAGATACATACGACTGTCGGGAAGTTACACGTTCCACGGACACTCGTTCTCTTATTGCGAAACGGCCCGGCTGATAACCATCTTTTCGAGAATTTCGGCCCCTTTCATAAGTTTCATCGCCGCGCCAGTATACGCCGGACAACGTCGCGGTGAGAACAACCGCTTAGATCGCTGGCGACAAGTTGTGTAGTCAAGGTAGATTGAGAAATGTGGAAGAATTCATGGGATATAACGATATGGTATGAGGAGAGAGCGGTGGAGAAGTAATAATTTTGATGGCGATGAATTGTCTCCGAATATAGCGTAACATCAATAGAACGTCTGCTTTCCAATTTACGAAGTTAATCGATGCGATACAAATAATTCTTAAAACTACACAAAAACGGAAAATCTAGTGATCCTACTACGTGCACTTTTAATATACCACGTCTAATATTCTCTATGTGAAGAAAAATTCTTGATCCTTATATCGATTTCTACTTCATATTTTACGAAGAAAAAAGATAGCACGCGGAAAGTAAGGAGGTCACCGGCAAATGCAATGTTTACGCGATACGGAGAATTCCATGGGACCAATTACTAGACGCGAGAAGAGTCGTACGGAAGATTTATTCCGGCCATTACAAGGAACGGTCGCCTGCGGTGGAACGGGAAAACACGAAAACTATTCGAGGCTCACGGAGCGGTCGAAACGCG